AGTCAAATGTATCATTTTCCGACGATCTTCAAGGTTTCATCATCAGCTAGATGAACCTTCCCAAAATCACCACTAACATAGTTCTCCATGATTTCTTGGCATGGGGTGGAGTGGAAAGATGCCCCTGAATCCAAGATCCATGATTCAATCAGACTGTTGACGCTTAGAATCATGGCATCACCTGTCTCCTCTGTCATGTTGGCAGATTCCTGTGCGCCGGTATGTTTCTCCAGTGCTCGACAATCTCTTTTAAAGTGACCCTTCTAGCCACAATTATAACAGGTAAAATCTTTCTTTCCCGTTCTTGATTTTCCCCTTCTGGATTTCGATATGCCACGGTTTAAATTTCTTTCTGAAGTTCTCCATCTAGACTCTATGTGCAAGGCTGAGGAGGTTGATGCTTCACCCGATTCTCTTCGTCGAATTTCTTCACTCAATATCAGATCCCGAACATCGTCGAATTTTAATTTGTTGTTTCCCGTCGAGCTACTGACTGTTGTAACAGTAGCATTCCAACTGTCTGGTAGGGATGATAAGAGAATTAAAGCTCTAATTTCATCATCGAATTCAATTTCCACGGAACTCAACTGGGTTGTGATTGTGTTGAGTTCATTTAGGTGTTGAGCCACTGATGCCCCTTCCGCCATCCGCAAATTGAATAATCACCCCATCAAGTGAACTTTGTTTGAGGCCGATGACTTCTCATACATACTGGAGAGAGCCACCATAAGACCCACCGTGGTCTTTTCCTTTGCTATGTTAAAAGCAACATTGCGGGATAACGTCAGTCGATAACTCCGAAGGCTTGTCTGTCGAGAAGAGTCCAATCTTCATTCTTCATGCCCTCTGGTTTCTTTCTTGATAGAGGTTGATATAGATTTTTCTATTACAGAAAATCATCAATCTGCATATTCCAAAAGCCAAAGTCCGCACCATCGAATTTTTCAATTTTCACATTCCCTTCGTCTACAACCATCGCACTCGAATCTGGCTTCGTTTGGATCGTTTTTTACAATTCTTGCGAACCACCGTGTATTAGAACACCTCCGTCGACAAATTCGTATCGCCGAAAACTTTTTACTATTCACGAAATTTACTATTCATATGAATAGTAATGAATAGTAAGCTCGCAAAAAAATTGACAAAATTCATAACCAAAAGCTCTGATTACCAGTTGTTGGGAAATAAACGAGAATTTTCCCTATAATCAGATTAGTGAGAATGCGAAATAAAAGCGGAAAAATAATACCCAAAATTGATAACGGAGTTCAGCCAATTATGCCTACGTCTCGGACTGCTGCAGATCTTTTACTAAAGAGAAAAAATTTACAGGTGTTTACAAAACACTCACTACTCACAAGAAAACTCTCTAGTATTGGGAGAAAGAAATGGTTTGGGATGATTTTGAAGCTAAATGGGCTAGGGTATTTATAGTTGAAGATTAAGGACTAATCTTGTAAATACCCTAAAGTGTGTAGTGGGTAAAATGTAATTAATCCAAAAACATTTTAATTAAAGAATTAGGGCACCGAATTCGATGCCCCTTTGTTGAAAACCCATGCAAAACGGTGCCCCTTATAGCCTCCATTTTTTACTTTACATAAGGATGCTCGATTCACATCCCTTTATATGGACCCTCGGTTTTAGACGATTCCAAAACATAAGTTCAAGGTTGTCATTGACTCTCGTTTTAATCGGATGTTTACCAACAAGAGATTTGCTCTACACCTTTAGATAAGTGAGGAAAACCAAAGAAAGGAAATTACTAGAGCTTTCTTCGCCATTATTATCACCTCGAAGAAGCCGAAGAAGAAGAGGATAAGAGAAAGAAATATATTGTGAGTGAAGAGGATGATACCGATGAGAGTGTTAGCAATGAAACGTTAGAAAAAAACAGCGATGAGGAGTCGAAACAGGAGGAGGAAATTCATAATCTGACTCCACTACCGAAAAAGAAGATGTTGATATAGATTATGAGGATGAAGAACCTGAAATACAGGCTAAAACTCAAGAAGAAGAATGGAGAGGGGAGGGGAATTAAAGGGGTTGGATGCCAAGTAACGGAAGGTAATGACAGAGACTAAAATGAAAACAAACTAAAAGTTTGATGATTGTATTGTAAGTTTTAAAAGTTGGGTGACCAAAATGTAAGCGCCATAAAATTTTGGGAACTATTTATATACTTTATCCTAAATTTATTATCCCTTCAATATTATAAATTAATAATTCTATAATATTACAAGTATAACTATGACAACTTAATAAAATATGATTTTATTGTTGTTTGATTATTCTTAAAATTAAAATCTAGTTGTATTTTATCTATAACTTTCCTTATTGCATACAAAAGTTTCAATATTGTGTTCTAATAATTCAACAAAAATTATGAAGAGTTTTTATCGCTATTAGTGTTTCCTTCCACGTAATTAGCTGTAAATGCATTGTATAATCTCCAGTTTCATCCTCAATAGGATGTTCAATAACACGAGCTATAATTTCTTCTAAACTTTAGATCTCTAAACATGTAACATTCTCACATGTGTTATCCAATAGATGGTTGACATCCATTTATCAAATTAATTAATAACTTTTAAATTAATAAATTACATGAGCCTAACATTATTAATTTATAATCCATCATTATATCATAGTATAAATTTAATTTTGAGTTTGCTTTTATATATATTATTTCAAGAGGTATTTCCGGGTAAAAGTCAGGTTTTTTACCTAAACATCATTTTAATTAATATGTAAAATAATTTATTTATCTTTTCATTTTTAGATTAATTTCTTTTGTTCTACAGTGAATAAAAATACTTATATGAGATGCGTTTTTTAAAAAACACTATCTGTCAAAGTGTCTTTACTTGCGCGATAAAAATCTGTCAAAACTTACTAAAGTTGGATAAAAATTCAAAAATAAAAAATGGGTAAATAGTATAATAAAAAATTATTTAAAAATAAGAAATGTACATCACACATGTCTTTGACACATATTTGTATGAGCACGAACCGGACAAACAACAATAATAACGTGACTGTATAGATCAGTGGCGAATGCATTAAGCTCTTATAGAGATCAAGTGCATCCCCATTATTTTAGAAAAGTGATTAAATTTAACTTAATGTGTTAAGAAAAAAAGAAAAAAATTAAATTTTTGCATACCCATTATTTTTAAGAAAATAAAATTAAAATTTTAGATCCACATTCTTAAATTTATGGATCCACCATTGGTATAGATTTCATTTTAAATTACTTAATAAGTACATGTTTAAAAGTTTATACTTAAACACTTAAAAACACATCTAAAACAATATAAAATTCAAGAATTTCATGACAAAATATGTTGATATTGAGTTTTCAAATACATGTTCTAAACTTGAACAGACCTATGTCGATACAATAGTCAAAGAAAATTTTAGATATTGAGATTTCAAGTACTTACTCTACCCCACTTAAATTGTCTCTTATTTATTTTTATTTGAGCAATTTTAGCTAATTATTATTTAAATTTTATTATTGATAAAAATATGAAAAATTATATTTTATAAAAATTAAGTAGTTTTGAAATATATATTTAATAAATTTAATTTTTTAAAATATTTAAAATAATCATGGATAAAGTTTAAAAAACTTGACTTTTAAAAATTAATAAGAAACATTTTTAATGGGATGAGATAGTATTTTAAAAGGCAGACTAAGTCGGAGTTTGGGTCTAATTAAATTTAGGATTTATTTTTAATAATTAAAACTCAATAACTTTGATAATGAGATTCTCAATTCTCACATTGTTTATAAATTAGTTTTTTCAAAAATTTAAATATCACTTTTTAAACATATACTTATTGAGTAATTAAATATAAAACTCATACATGTACGTTGGTATTTTGTTCAGCTCGTACTAATATAAATATGCTTTTTTTACACATAGCACATACATTACTTTTTCATTAACAAAATTCTAATAATTTTTTTATATTTTTTTCCCAATATATGCCATGTTGATAGGATATGGCGCTTTTGTCCTATGTAGGGATGGGTTTGGGTAAGGTTTGGGCCAATTCAACCCGACTTGTAAAATTTATATCATTCATCTAATCCGAACTTGATTCGACCGAAATAATAAAAATATTATTTTTATTTAATAAAAACAGTGATTTAATTGAAAAAAAATAATATATAGAGGGATATAATTATAATTATTCCCAAATATAAGGTAAAATTATATTTTTTTGGGTCTGGTAGGATATTTTTCACCCTAAACCCGACCCGAGCCCGAAATTTAAAAAATACCCAACCCGTCGAGTCGGAACCCGTCGGTTTCGGGTCCATGCCCATCCCTAGTCTATGTGATAGAAAAAAGTGTCAATCGGGAAATAAACTAAAAAAATGTATTATTTTGGATATGAAATTTTTTATGATATTTGGATAAAAAACAGTAAAAAGAAGGGGATTAAAATTGAATTATTAAAAATGTACTTTGATCACTCTATAAACTTACAATTTTATTATTTTTAAGGGATTAAATTGAAGTATTATCACATTTGGAAGGTCAAAATGCAATATCACAATTGTATTAACTTTAAATTTTACAATTTTAAAGAGATTGAAGTATTATAACTAAGGTTGGTTGATTAGAAAATTATGGAATCGTTTCTTCTTGCTTCTCAAGAAAAAGAAGTGAACAAATTACTGTTATACCAGACTTGTGTGAAGCACCCGCCTGCAGCAGAAACATAACTTCAGCCAGGGATGTCAAAATAGCTGCATTTCAATCGGCTTTTCCCTGGACATCGCAATTAGATTTAAATCGAAGTCGAATAACTTATACGTCTTATTGGCTCTACAGACTAATACAACAGAGTCATAAATTAGTTAGGGCATGTAATAATTCAAAGTTGGCATCTACAAACATTAATTGCAACCAAAAAAGAAACTTGAATTCTTAAGGTTTCTAACATGAAAACTATGGATGGGGTAGGACTCCATAGGTATGTTTATCAAAATGGCCTTGGCGGCTTCTCTAACACAGCGGAAAAGAACACCTCTCCATCATCTTTATCTCGTTTGGGAACCACAACCCATCTGTGTTTCCTATACCTTAGCACCTTGAATGCCTCCATGTAATCCTCCAAGTCTTGTTTCAAACAGAAGAAACTGTCTATCCAAAGAAGCCCCCCTGGTCTCAAAACCCTGTCCCAATCGAACAACACGAAGTCCAAAAGCACCAAATCGATCCAACCATCCAGAAACCTCGTCGTGTGTATCAAATCCAGGGTGTTGTCAAAGAACGGAAGCCGCTGGTTTACGGTCAAATAAAGAGGGACTAATCCTCGAAGAGCTATCATCTCGTTGAACGGCGCTCCGAGGTTGATGGTTGCTGAAACGATCGTCACATTGAACTCCCTCATCCTTGCTGCAAATGTCCCGGTTCCTACGCTGAAATCTAATCCGATTCTGATCTCCCCGGGCTTGATTTCCAGCACTTCGGGTATTAAGAAATCTGCTGTTATGTTTGTTTCAGGGTCTAATTGGACCGGTTGGATCCATCTCGGCATTTCGTGGTGTGACAGATTGAAGCAATCTGCACATTTGAAGAACCCTTTGCGGGTGGCGTTGCTTGCAAGGCAAGTGAAGTTCTTGCATCTGTATCCACTCCATCGAATATTTCGATCATCCGGCAGCTTCCATATGGACTCGCTGATGGGGAACGGCTGAGTGTATAGCCTTGGAGCTCTCGCGAGGCACCGCCTCCTCGGTAATGGATCGCAGCCGTGAACCATTAGTTTCTGAGCTAGTTTCCAATCGTCGTTGCAGATTTCACCGACGTCGTAATCCATGTACTCTTCGAGCTCCTCCTTCATTGCGAAACAAGTGTGGCCGATGCTCGTGAATGTGCCATTAGCTCCCATGAAGTTCTGTTTCCCTAATCTGTTAGGCTTGACCCGAACATACTTTCGGATCTCTTCGATAAAGAAGTAATCAGCAGGCCCATCGGATTGATGAATCGGTTTCACCAGGGGATGGTTGACGGTCTTGTTCTCAATTCCCCGCACCGGTTCCTGCATCGACTCGAATAGACCAAGAATATCAGCAAGGAAACGACTATGTCTAAGCAAGATTTCCGACGACGATGACTCCTTGGACATACCTTTCCTCAACTCATCCATTTCTCGTCGGATTTTCTGAATGACAACCTCAAAATTCGCACTCACTTTTTCTCCGTTTCTACTCGGATTCGAAGGGTTCACATTGCAGAAGGAATCAGTAACCAGTAGAGATCTAATGGAATAAGATCTAGACAAGGTAGCAACAGAAACGAGAAGAGCACAAGCACCCAATATGAAGATAGTCCTATGAACACTTTTCCATGTCCCCATCTTCGCTAAGCCATTTACTTTAGCCATCTTCATTTATCGAGAATGAGAAGTAACCTCTCCAACTGGCAATTCATTCTAACAAATAAAAGCCTATCTATTGAGTTAACTCGGAAAAGAGTTGCTTAATGTACAATACAAGTAATCTTGAGAAACAAAGTAGAAGATGAAGATGAATTTGAGCAAAGGTCATATATATTTTAACAATAAACATACGTTGAAGCAAAAGGAAGATGGGAAGATTTTAAGCATAGGGCACATGGGTGCTTTGAAGAAAGCACTGTGATGGCCGAGTCAACGCTTTTTTACGAATCACGTCAATCAAAGCATCAATCCCCAGAGTTATCTTTAGGCTACCTTCAAAAGAGTTTGAGATTTGTGAGCGCTTCAATCACGTTCTCATTAAGAAAAAGAATATATTTTCTTTACACAACTTGGGTTTCTGCATATGCTGCAAAGCGACAGAAGCTTCTCTGCTGGTTAAATTTATTTTAAAAACCCTAAATAAATAATTATTTAAATAAATAGAACTCTTCATACTATTTAAAAGAATAATCTCAAATCATCCGTATAAGATGACTTCGCGGCCTGCAAACCGCTTGTTAAGTTATCATATCTTCTAACACGCGAGATACGTTTGACGTGGGTACATTTTTCAGGTAAATCAATAAAATAATTAGATAAAATGACATCGCGTACTGCAAACCGCGATGTAACCTTTATGATTCAAAATTTCGAGAGATTTATATGAGACCTCGCGGCCTGGAAAGCGCGAAGTTATTTCGGATTCCGTATAACTTAATTTGAAATGTATAAATAAAATTATATTATAATAAATAAATATAATAAATAATAAATAATAATATTAATTATTAAATATAATAAATAATTAAAATATAATAATATATAAATATAATAATTAAAATAGATATTTTATAAAAATAATCAAAATTTGAATTTGAATTAAAGCAATCTCGCGTATTACAAAACGCGAGGTACTGAGAATTTCGTGTGTTTTCAGTACATCGCGTCTTGCAGGACGCTAGTTGCATTTAAAACCACCCCGGGTGCGAGAAGGGCTATAAATTAGGCCCTCCACTCCTTTTCATCATTATATCCATCCCTTTCATATATTCAAATATTTAAAGATTTCATATCATGGCGACGAGTCTATAAGACATGATCGAAGTCACGTATTCGATTATTGGAGGCAAAATGATGAGGTAAATTAATTAATATTATTTCAATTTTTACTATTTATTTATTTATTGATTTAGTTAATTTTTTTGGTATTTAAATAATTTTTTAATATTTATATTTCGTAGGGATATGAACGTGTATTAGAGTGTCATATAAATTGTGTGACACCGCCCGATGTGGATATTATTGAGCATTTACATTTAGCGGGTTTTGGATATATCAATAGTATAACTGGTGATGGCGTGATGTTGCATCCTCCACTTATCAATGCGTTGGTGGAAAGATGGAGACCGGAGACGCACACATTTCATTTATCGTGTGGGGAGGCAACTATTACCTTGCAAGATATTGTATTTCATATGGGCTGCCTATTGATGCAATAGCTATTATTGGTGTTGTCGGCGCCCCTAGAAACGTATGTGAGATATTGCTTGGAATTGATCCACTTGATGATACATGCGATGGTAGAAAATAAAAATTAAATTTTTGGATGAAAATTTTACGAACCTATCGCAGAATGTGAAGCATGAAGTTAAGGAGATAAATATAAATGTTTTTATCTATGAATATTTATTAATATTTCAATTTATTTATTTAATTTTTTGGAAATTAAGTAGTTATATTATTTTATTAATTTTTTGAAGCGATTTGCTCGTGCGTATATACTACGAGTTATTGGGGGATTTTAATGTTAGACAAATCCCTAAAAATAAGGTGCATCTGATGTGATTGAATCACTTGTAAATTTTGAGTGATTCAAGTATAAGTTGGGGGTCGACAGCTTTGGCATTTTTGTTCCGACAACTTTGTAGAACCGTAAATCCGACAAAAAATGTCATTGGATGGTGTTTATTGTTGCTACAGTCGTGGGCATGTATTCGAATGTCATTTTTATGTATGATCTTTAAAACACATGTCTCATATAAATTTTCGTCACTTAAGAGGTAAAAAATAATTTTTATCTATTTTTTATAATATTACTAACAAATAATACAATTATATTGTATTAATGATAAGTGGACTGATGAAACCTCTCACGCCCACTTACAAACACATCAACGAGAATTCAGATTATTGATCGATAAGTTTGATCATCATATAATAAAATATTTTCCTTCGACTTTTATCTTATAATTTTAGAATAATTTAATTTATTTGAGGTTTTAGCTAACAAAGTTATGTATTTTTTATTATATAGTTCCTGTGGACGTCTTATTGCGATGTTGCTATTGCCGACTATATGCCGCATGAGATTCTTATGACTAATGCGCCAGTGTACATCGTGTCAATCCCGCTGATCTTGTTTGATATTGTTGAGTGGTATCTTACCAAGTGCATTTTTCGACAAGTTAAGTTTGTCCAATCGATTTCGCCACATCCACCTTGCTTGGATGAGTTGCATCAATTGACGCGACAAGGGAAGACGAAAATTAATTGGGCATACCATAATGCAGTGTATCTGAACAAGTGGGTCCGAAGATTTGAGATGACGCCCATGACTCAACCCATCTTTGACAACAGTTTGGCATATGATTATATGTTGTGGTATGAGTTATATAGGATGCCACATATATTGATCGATGAGGAGCGAACGCGAGAATTATATGTTCCTCCATAGAGTCGTCCATGGACGGGGAGGCAACGTGGGGGGAGTCAAGGCAGATAAGAAGAAGACAAAATGTGCATCCTCCTCATCGACAATAACATAGGGACCTCCTCAGACAACGCTGACACACCCTGACCCTATCTTCACCCACTCGACTCAATCAATATTTCAGCAAATGGGGCAATTCTCGGAAGGTTTCCTCACTGACGTCTTTGACCAGTTGAATTCACCACTAACACAATGGGTTGCTAACTTTGGATCATGTATTGTTGAGAAGAAACCACCGTAGAGCATATTATACATCAATCCCGGTTATAGTGCCAGTAGTAGATCGATTCCATATACAACTACCAATCCAGGTGATGATAATATTGTTGAAGAGGAAGAGGAACCACAATTACGTCCGCGTTGGACTCGTCGTCCACCACGATGCGGAACTGGTGGACATAGACATTATTAGTTGTTCTTTATTTCGTTCTTCAAAACTGAAATATTTGTACTAAACTATTTTATTTTGAGTTAATGAATATTTTATGTTATGCGAACTATTTTATTATTTTGTACTAAACTATTTTAATTTGAGTTAATTGACTACCGACGTTCATTGAACAATTTTTAGTTATGCGAACTATTTTTTATTAGTCGATTCATCTTGGGAGTTATTTTTCTAATAAATTAATAAAAATAGGTTTTAGTAAAATTTGCACCCTATAACCCGCAATATATATTGTACGTTAGCAAAACCACACATCTTGTAAAATGCGAGATAATATGATCTTGCACCCTACAACACGCGAACTATTTGAAATTCATGTCCTGTAACCCGTGAGGTTTTTATTACAATAAATAAACCATAATTCAATATTATCGGACAATAACTCAACTAAAATGTTGAGGAGAGAAAGCCTTACTGCTTTGGTATATTACGATGACAAAACGATCGGTGATGCATCTCTTGGTATTGTGTTTCAGTCTGCACACACTATTACAATAACGCTACCAGCGAAGTTAATGTATAACAAGTTGATGAAGAAAATGAAGAAAAATGTTCTACATGCTCGCGGTACAAAATTGTTACCCTTGAAGTATCGAGTGTCGACGTCGTTAGAAATATTAACTTGCACGATATACACCGTTGAGGACAATGGTGATCTATAAATGATGGTCGAAGTTCACTTGTGATATTCATTTAGAGGGCCAATGGAGTTGTATGCATTATTTTTGGATGCTGATGATGGTACCATTATGCCAAGTTGGAGACGAGCGGAGTTTGACTTTGATCAAACTGTTGATAGTCAGACAGTAAATTTGAGAAACGACTTCAATTTGTTAAGCACACACGGTACACATAATGATTTTGGTTCATCATTGTCTTCAATGCCAAGGCATTCTTGCGTTGCTAGATTTGAATTTGACTTGAACATGCCACCAACGCAACAATCCACGTTTAACCTATTCGATGATTTCTTATATAGACGATATTCAACGTGTATCGTTGCTGCGAATAACGTCTCAACACATGGGGAGACATTCTTTTACTAGTGTGAGTGACATTGATATTGGGGAACCAGTTCTTGAGCGATCTCGTGATCGATGAACACCTGTAGTAGTGGCTAACTTTGATTTAAACGAGGCTGAACTATTTCGCTTTGAGGGGGATCATTCTGATGAAGAACCAATAAGGGAGCTCGGCCCCGATGGTGATGAGTTAGGCTATTTCTACGAAGAACCAGAAGACCTTGACATGCCACAAAAAGCATAAGACAACGAAGAATACGACGCGACTACAATGATTCCACATGCTGCAACACCTATTTCTTATTACCAACCACCATCTCACTTTACAACAATTAATATGGAAGCATTCAACGCTCCAGAATTTTCCCAATTCCCACACATTGAGCAATACAATCAACGTAGTGATGGTGATCTCTATGTTGGAATGATTTTTAGGTTAATACAATATTTTAATTTTTCATTTTTTATTTTGATTTGTTTATTGGTAAGTTGGCAATTTTATTTACTCTTTTTATGAATGACTTTTAAGATAAAAGAACAAGATGTGGTTGTAATCAAGAACTACAACATACGTCGCTCAGTCATGTCAACTGTAAAATAACTGATATAGATAAGTACATCGCTGAATGTATCCACAAGAAGTATGGATGTAATTGGAGGGTTCGTGTATCATGGTTGAAGACAATGAACAACCTTTGGAAACTCACAAAATACATCTAACCACATACATGCATCACCATCATCCTGAATCCAGATCATCGTAACTTGGATGTGCACGTGCTTTCTGAAGCCTTCATTCCACAGCTCAAATCAAATCCACGTGTTACTTTTGTGACATGTATTG